ATATGACCCACTTAGTCCCACCTGGTTCTACCCCAGTTTACCTACGTGCCTACTAATCAATACGGGACCATATATCAATGGATATAGAATCCACGGTTTTTATTGAAACAGTTCGATGACATGAATGTTTCTAAGAGGAAAACGGCCCGGAATATAGTCACCTCTCGCGTTCCTCAAGAAAAACAGTGTAGCTGACTCAAGAGAAGCTGGACGATTCACTGCAGGCCGGAATCATTGCTATAGGTGAATATAAGATCCCCGCGTAGGTGAATTTTGAGACATCAAAAACTCCTTCCGTAGTGTTCTTCTGTAGATCTCCTTGTAAATCTCCACAAGTAGGTGTTCCGGGAGGAAGTTCGTTCTGTTGCGTTTAAAAAGTTCGCTCAGCTTTGAAGTGACTGGCCATTGCGCCTCTTTGATCATAATGGGGAACCATTTCTTTTTCTGTCGATCAGAATGTCGAATATGCAAAAATTGCGGCATTCGGCATGCGCCATCAACACCTTGACTTATCATCTCAACCATGAAGACAGGTTTATAGCTGAAACTGGCCGTCTTTATGGCGCAACTGATTCCAGCGGCATTTCATTGTGGATCACATGAAAACCAGCGGACCAGATTTTTGTGTGAACATCGCCGATAATCGTGATTCGTGAGGAAATTACGCCAATATCTCGATTTCTGGTCAGACCGCAATGTTGTAAAAAGGATTCGGTGTCAGATCTTGTTCGTTTTGCGCTTAAGTCTAACATGAAAAGCGACTGGACTTAAAAGACTTAAAAAACGAGCTGGTCTTGGCGAAGCTTTTAGCACAATGAATAGAAGTCTTTGCTGTGAGTTACTTTTTGATAGTGCGGGATCTCGTAGATTAAGCCCCACCATAAAATGACAAGGCCTCATAGGATTCATGGTGACCTTATCCTGGGTGAAGCTGTGGCACCATCTATTTCGGAAAACGAAAAGGGTGCAGACCACACACTATAAAATACGACGGTCAAGAAGGAAATGGCTTTTTTCCGTTCTTTTTCCTTTGCCGTCGTAAATTGTGACATGTAGTCTGCACTAGACGCTCTTCTCGTTCTTTGAAACCCTCCTAGGGGATAGATCCTTAGTGGATTGTGTCTGAGCCGCAAGCACGGCTCACTCCTGAGGATTTCATTGCCGCTAAACATTCATTTATTGATGAGTGGATCTAAATTCGACACCATGGCTTCGGCTGAATGGTTGCGCGATCCAGGCGTATAATTAATGAAGTCAGAGGATTGTTCGATTTCACGTCGCGATATGGCGCTAGCGCTAACATAAGCCGATATCGATCTCATACGATATTCGATCTGATTAAGATGGCTATCATGACGTCTTCACCTCTTGTTCTATATTATAGAACAACTTTTTGATCTCGCAGTTGCAAATCTTGATGCTCGGTTCACGCTGAATTCGTGGGATGTTGATCGGTTCACCCATTCTGGTCACCTCCAATCATTTAGAACGCTCTGATTCGGTCGTAGCGGCTTTAAGGGAACCTAGGCCTCAACCTAAACTTCGATGATCGCGCAGCTCTGGTTACCCGATCAATAGAAACAAATGAACTTACTATGAAGTCTGAGATCCACCATTGCCGCATTTCTCCGCACTTCAAAACTCGCCGGTTCTATTCTCATTGCTCTCCTCAACCAATGTCTTTTTCTGCCATGTTACTATTTTACTCAAATACAAATATGTTAGCCACAATGACTCAACGCCGCCACTTTTGCATAGTATGTAATGTCAATGGGCGGAAGTGGTGTAGTGGCAAGTGGCACGCTTACCACGCGAGCGGTCCGGTGATCGAATCTTGGGTCGTGAGTCTCCCGGGCCAACCAAGCCTTCCATCCCTCCGGGATCGGTTAATTGGTATAAGACTTGTCTGGGAGGATAAAAACTCTGACTTGAATATCGGCTGGCCCCTGCAAGTCATTGTATGGGCCACATCGCATTCAAAATCCACTACGAATGTGCAAATGAAAAAAGAATGCGTGCCGCATGCTGCATAAAGTAATTGCAATCAACGGCAAACTGCTATCTTCTATTTTATGTACTTTCAATAAAGGACAAAGTTATTGCGCAGCCGAGGTCATCGATTTGTCAATTTATCCATAACGACGTTGACGGCAACTGCGCCGTTTTAGGCTTCTTTGACCGCGTGGCGACCGGCGCGCGAATCTGCGAGCTGCCGCCGCCTCAGTCCATCAGGGCCCAATTTGCATGTTAATATGAAAAAACATGATGTGATACAAAAGATAATTAGTCTCTTTCAAGTGCCGTAGAACGCCTCGCAGAGAGTATATGTAGGTGAAAATTGTTTGATAAGTCGGACTAAAATGACAAGGTGAAAAAGCAAAATTGTGCAGAAATCAGCTGCAATGAACGTCAAAGGCCATTTGCACCGATTATGCAATTGCCAAAGTACATATCTGTCATACTTGAGGTTCCGTGTTGACTTACACTACCCTTTAAATATTCACATTCCGGAAAAGAAAATGTTGAACCAAAAATCCCACTGGTTGAGCTATTTCGTTCGTCGAAAACCTCCGCTAGATTTGCAGCACACGGCTGCCCCACCTAAGCAGCTACTTATTTTTCTATCTATGTTAGTGTTTTTCCATGAATAATACAAGATGCTCTAAAAAATAATCGAACGGTGTGCGAGAAAAAGAATGAATGCTTGCGGTGCAGGACACTATGCCGCCGTGTCCGTTGTGGTCTGCAAAGTGCAGGACGTATGTGTCTTGCCTGTCGTCAACGTTTTAAGAAGTTCATGAAGCCCGATTTCAATTACTAAGTATACGGTAAGTTATAAAACCAAAATGCAAAACCAATGCAACCAAGTCGTAGCTCAAACTTAACCTGTACAGAACCTCTTCCATTGCTTTTTAACTTGGTGCATTTCAAACTATGCCAGGCTTTTGGTGAATTTTTATCTGGGAATGGAAGACAACATGTGCTGCAATCTTGCAATACAAACATCTGAAAACAACGTTTAGATCTTTGAGAGCGCCCGCTCAGCGATTCCAGCTAAGCTTCTATAGATCAAAACGTCCGCCTAAAAAACCTGCACATAAAAAACCTTTGCATGTACGCTTAAAGACTGCAGCGACTTACGATTAGAGTTGCGAGGCAGATCGAGAAAGCATATGCCACCACTCCAATCAGCTTTACTTGGCTGGCCAGGTGAAGCGTGGCTGTAAGCGCTTTTACGACGGAAGGTAGCTAGTTACTGCGCAGGAGCTTCGCAGCCTCGCGCTCGTTCAAAAGCGATCGCGCCCACTAAGTAGGCTTTGGTGATTTGATCGTACGTAGCGTTCGCCGAGCTATCGGGACATACTGTGGCAACTCGGTTTGGAGTGTGGTTTGGCATGTGTTTAGCCAACCGCGTTGACTGGCCTCGCGTTCATGACGCCCGCTCTGAGCTGCAACCGTTCATGTGCTGAAAAGGCGACTGCAAAAAAAGGGGGTCACCCTTGCTTTTTGAGGACGGCTTTTTTTTTGCCGGCTGTGTGTTTTCGCGTCAAGAGCACGTTCATCCATTGAGCAAAACACGTCTCCGCAACCCCTCTGAATAACATCGCAGTCGGTGCCTTCAAACAGGAAATTATGTCGGTTGGAAGCTTCATGTTGTAACCCTTTCCTGTTGGCCCAGCAGGGTTTCATGCCAGCGCAAGAGAACTAATTTGGGTTGCGGATTAAGAACGGTGTGAGCGTCCCTTGGCAGGTTCGAATAGCGTTTGCATTTTTTGACATGAAATTCTGATACATTCAGAATTATTCCTAAATGTAATCACCCTGAACGCTATCGACATCTTATCCATCGTCCAGGTAGAAACAAGCACTGTCCTAAATGGGAAGCAGCCTCACCATTTGCGGCCTCCGATATCTTCACAGCATACCGATCGTATTCAATGCTTTCATTGAAACTGGATATCATCAAACCGCTGTGTCTAAAAGAAACACATGAAGAGTTGCTCTTTAGCGCGAACATCAGAGCGCTCTTACGATTGCTATCGCAGACAAACTTAACAGATGACGTGTCAGCATAAACTCTATCGCTAAGTACAGCTGTCTAAAAATCGTCCACCCACGTCGAGTGTTCCAATCGACAAGTTGCAGCATATTCTCGACATACGTGCTTTCAAAGCGCACTTGTCTGTTTGCAGACTTGATGCTGCAATGTGCACATGGCACCTTAAAAAATTGCCATACCTAGTGTTGCTTCGTAGCTAGTCCTTCTGCAAGAAGTGTTTATGCCTGCAGTACATCACAGCCTGGCTGAGATAACAATGTATTGTTTAGCGATCTACACACCGCTTCCCTGTCTAATGCCAATTGAGCGAGACTGGACTTACAACTGCATGCCCTAAAGTTGAGGCTGCTCATATCCCACAGGGCTGAGACTATAACGGACCATTTTCATCGTTTGCAAGCGTTCACTATCGTTATTTTTTGATACTGATACAACCCTCCGTTGCGCTGAAAAAAATCATATGTGAACAAAAACTGGCTTTCTTAATGAGGTCCGAGAAGAAAGGCGGAATACGTAGAATGAAGTTGGTTAGTGTAAATCGACCCAAAAAAAGAAGTGCTTTCTAACAGTGTGTTCTGATAATTGGCAGTAATTCCTCAACAGAGAAAGCCTTCCTAAGCCGACGCTGTACCAAGTGTTATTAAACTGAAACTCAAGCAACTCAAAAAACTGATTTATAATTCTCTCTCAGTTGGGAACACACTAGGGCCCTGGGATATTAGAATTTTACTTCTATGACGATTGTCTATGTAATGAGATGGGTAAAACGGACCGATTCTGCGGTACGCGAATCTGGGTTTTTGGTTCACGATTACGGTTCCGGCGCCGAAAGAACGTGATGCGCTACTTGCCCTAAGTGCGATTGAACAACCCTCACCAAGAAATTCTTGGTCGAAGTCCATGACGATCACATCCAAAAGTTAAACAGTTCTAATTAGCGATGGCCATAACTCCGGAACATTTGCCTGTTCAGCTTTTTCTGCCGACGAGTGTGGACATAAGAGTGCATCGGCGCACAGATTTTGGATGGTGGCTGAAACAGCCGCCTCAAGTTTTTTTCGGGGTGTGTCTGACCACATTTCGCTCCTCTAAAGTTTGACGAGCTTCTCCCGAATACTTCAGCTAGAAAGCTGCTGCATTAGGCGAAGCGACAACGTTAGTTACGAGCTGTAACAGCCCAATTTCCATATCTAGGTCCCGTCATCTGTTCCTCTGTACTCAGAAAGCTGCCACCCAGTTATGAGCTGGAACTCAAACTCAATTCCTTTCAGACGCATCGGCTCTCATCCCACTCATTCCATCTGTAACGCTGTTTTCGCTTATCTAAATTCTATCACCTTTCCTTTGACATGCTTGCCTTGATTTATTTCACTACACTTGATAATGCATAGAAAATTAGGTGCCGAACTTAGCAGAAAGACCTGCGTGGAGATGTCTCCACGCAATTTTTGATAATAGCTACAAATCGTGAAGGAACTATTAATATATAAGTCCAGGGAGCGATTTGAAGCAATATAGTAGGAAGAAATAGTTAGGTTCTGTGAAAATAACTGTTTGAGTGGCGCTGGAAAACTCACGTCTCGTATTTGTTAATGGCATACGGTCATAGCTCAGTGGAAACTCATAAGTTAGCTTGGATGGCAATTTCGAATTTAAGGTGAGATCACAAGCATAACCAATTGTGGAGCAGAGTCGCTCACTTGAAGTCGTAAGCTGGTCGGTAACATTAAAACCTTTTATAATCACTTAGTTGCCTTATTCTGCATTAAGGCTCACGACTGTTCGGTTTTTACCAATTAAAATCAATCACAAAAGCTTGCGAAAATAAGAGATAAGGGACCGGATTGCGAAATATATACCTATGGAAAAGTCTATTTTCAATTCATCATCATTTGCAAGCCGCACAAAAATTGGCAGCCGCTCGCGTGAAAGACCAGTCAGTAACCTTTTTCAAATGGCATTTGAATACTTATGAAAGAGGGTTTGTTATCGGGTGGAAAAATATAACAGATAAAATAGAATGAAGAAAAAACGCTTCACCTGTGATCTCGAGGTCCACACGTTGTGGATCTTGCACGTTTATGCAGATACTGGGCCACAGTCGTCACACGGCACTCAGCCGATCTTTGCATGCTTGTGAAGGGTATTAACATGGCAACGGGCCCCGGGAAATAATTTCATAGGAATGCAAAACAAATTTGGTGTAGGGTTTCTTCACTATTCAGGTCAAGGCGTAAATAAAGTGCACAGGCATAAGGGCCCATGGCTACACTGTTGCCAAATTTAAATCAACATTTTTCGGAGTTGAAAAAACATCAGCAAGCGCCTGCTGGCCCCTTCCCATCTGTTGTGTAGATTATTTAGGAAAAATATGTCATGAAATAAATAACAATAAACAATATGGAACCCATAGATACGCACAGCAAAAACCTAAGCACCGCGGAAAATGACACAGATTCAAACGTGGAAATATTTCTCGGCAAGTCTCTAAAATAGCCACAATCTCGCCACAGAAACCCTACTTCCTATTCTGCCCGTGGCCCTCGTATTTCTTGCAACCCTTCCAACAAAGCATGTCAAATTGCTCTCGGTCAATGACAGCCGATAAGGAAGGAGCAAAATCAGTAGCTGGGCAAATTATCAATTAAAAATGGATTAATTTCTAGATTGACTCATCTTTGAGCTCATCTCACTTCTTTGAAGGCACTCCCTGCTGCGATTTTGATTTCTAGCCGACTGACATGGTCGACGGCTTCTTACCGGTTTCCGTGTGCTGGCAATTAGACTTGGTGAAATGAAAGCTGGTCTGCCTGGCATTCCTTACTTCTGAACGTATTCCACTATTAGCTAATAGGTCACACTTCACACTTTCATCTTTTTCGATGTTCGCTTTCACGTACTGTACCTTGAAAATCCGGAAAGCCGCGCTTCAAATGGTTTTTCAAGGACATACATACGACGCTAAGTGTTCCCACCCCACACGTAGTTATCCTCCGTCTGTCTACCATTTGCCCAGTATACTCTAACTGGAGAGGATTTGAAGGCGAGTTGCATATTTCACGCTTTCTCAAATAATGTTTGTTGTGGAACTAAGAGCACACCCAAAAAGGCTCGGGATCTGAAGAGAATCTCATGCATTGCCGCTGTTACCTCACATTCCTTGCTCATTCCTCACTCACATTTAGAATCATAAAGCTTTTCTGCTTGCTTAATAATTTCTTCACAACCAACTCTCTAACTCATGTAAAGTAAGACTGACCAGGGTAGAGTTTTCTCACCCGAACCATTTTTAAATACTCTTCTACAGAGGGATGTACTGGTTAGTGGCAGTGGCCTTTGGATAATATTTCTTAATATTTTCTTGGATAATGTAATTGGTTGGTTTTCCCTCACTGTTTACCGGATGGGAAACCTTGACCACCAGCTTCAGTAGGTGCATATGGACTATGGCCAATGTTGGCGTAGGGGAGAAGGGAAAGGAAGCTTATTATGAAGGATAGTATGAAGCGCACCTTCCGAACAGATGTAGTGATTTTTTGAATAACAGACTAGTAGCATGCAGGTATTTGAAAAAGTTTTCAAAGGATTTCATAGCCCATTCTTCCTCGTTTGCTGGAAACTTGCTGGACGCGAGGTGAAGGTAGGCAGTTCTAAGGAGGGAGATAGGATTGCCATTAGAAAAACTAATCTTCTCCTTCGACCCTCAAGCAAATCCTCTTGAAAGCTAGCCCACTTCCAGTTTCATCAGGCTACATAAATGTTGGTGTTTTGAGAAAAGCGTCTCCTTTCGTCGGTAACTCTCTTCCTCTCATGTTCATGAATTCACATTTCGGAATCAGTGGTCGGTTGCTCATCACAGGGGTAGCTTTTCGTTTTCAATTGCTAAGAACATGTAATAGGAATTCGTAGCACACGCATTAGCATTGTCCGATAGCGGTTATTGCCAGCCCACCAGCAAGCTTTGATAGATGCTTTTAATAGCCATTGATACCTGTCCATGTGCGATGGCCTAATCGCCCATGCAGTTTTCTTCGAGTTTTCTTCTGTAGGAGCGATTCTGAGCTGATTTTGACTGTAACATTGCTGCATCAGAAATTAGTTGCGATCTGAGTCGCGCCATGCACTTACTCCAATATTCGGACTCCTGGTATTGAACGGTGTCCCTGATCTGAAATGAGATCATGAACGAACGTGAACCACTGTAGTAGCCTTGTATTTGATGCCTTGAAATAGTACTATGCTGCAGCATCAGGGGAATTCATACTTTCCAGTTCGGAAGTAAATCTCAAAGTAACCGTGCTAGATCCTTCGCTGGACCGTCTCGCAACTATGTCACTCGGTTCGCTTCAAGTTCCACAGTAGTCGAGCTTATCAATATTTTTGCACACCTATGGGCCGAGACCCATCAAATTCAAATAGACTAGAAGTCTATTTGACAGGTCACGGGTCAAAGCTCATTAAGTGCTAGAGAGACTTTTACCTAAAAAGGTGGGCTGGGAGGACAAAATCATTGACCTGTAAAACGAGTGGGCTTCAAAAGTCATTATAAATATAAGCTAAAATAACACTTTCTATGCCACCATGAGTTCTGAAAAGTATTATAGAATCAGTGGTGCGTTCCACAAGTTGTTGGCCAAGATCAAATGCTTCCTTCATTTTACTCTCCTGCTTGCTTGCTCTTCAGAGCTTTAGAATTCTACCAAACCCATCTGTTTTCTCATTTTGTAACGAACTTATGATTTAAGGCGTGATTGATTCTTATCAACTCTGAATATGTCGGCCTTATCGAAGGCTTTGTGGCAGAACCCCCAATATATTAGCCTACCTCGCACGAATAGTCATTAGTCACACTGACTGTGTTCCAAACAAGCCGTGCAGTTTTTATAGCATCTCTGATCACCTCCAAAGAACCCGTGATTGAGCTCTTAATGAACCTCGGGCGGAAACCAACGCTAGGAGAACTTGTTCCTTATGGATCTCTCATGACAGCAGCATCGCATGATTTGATGCTGCGCAATCGGGATCGTAATTTTCGATTAGCTTGCAGTAAGCAATGGGATCGTTTGAACACAGAGAGAAGACAGCGCGATTCACGTCATCAGTACCAGTGATTGAAGCGATATTACCATTCCGTTTTTAGAATTGATAGGACATGATTGCCCAGGTTTTTCTTCCTAGGGGTTGACCTTCGCAGAGTTTTTCCTGTTTCAAGGGTTATATATGTAGTTATACAGGGAGGGGGAGCAAAAAAAAAGACAGTCAGCCCATATCACAATTTGGCACCTTTTTTCTTCGCAGGTATTGCGTCGTTGACAGAATTTTCTCAGCAAAATATTCCCTGAATGTCCCTCTATAAGTAGACACAGGCCCTCCTTATTTACCCTTACCGTCTTCAGAATATGACGTCATCTGTCATCGTCGTCAAGCTCAAGGAAGTCTACCACAACTGCATCAGCTTGAAACTCTTACATGATTTCATGAATCGATCAATGTTGGGTAGTCTCCTAGAGACATCAGCTACCGCTATGCAAGCCCCCTCCAAACTCTTTTTCCGGTTAAGGTATTATGGTACACGATCCTTAGAAGACCTATTGAGCTCGCACCATGTTTCCGGGGCAAATTCCTCTGATGCCGGAGACGTAGGTGGTCACTATGAAGATTTCCTTATGAAATGAAATGTGCTTCACAATTTTAAATTGGAACCGTTCGGTTTGAATTGAGCAGAGTGCGATTAAACCTATCTGAATGTGGAGACAAAATGTCTTTTTTTATTGCCCCCCCCATTGTATACCTTCCATTCGCCACTCTACCCTAAGAGGGAAACCCTAAGAAATTTCAGAAACTGGGACTTGAGTGGCTAGTGGTTGAAGAAAGGAACGCTTTCCAAGCGCTCGTCCTGGCCCTAAAATGCTTCATGCCTAGTGCAGGGATATCTCGTAGAGATATGCTCCTCTTTATTGTGCTGAAGCGTGAATCAGCATCACTAGAATACGCAATCCACGCATTGCAACAACAGATAGGCGATCAGCCTTCCACTTCTTTCCTTGTCACCTGGAAGAGGCGATCTCTAATAAATTACGCTGCTTGGGCTGATTTGCACCGCTTTTTAGTACTCCGGGGGCGTCATCGTATCTCCAAGCGGTCTCCGTCCACACCCTCTGTTTTCGACACATTTTGTGCGTTTGTGCTTATCCTTATGCAATGTAATGTACCACTTAAGAATCTTAATAAATAAAAGGGTAAAGCATTTGCCGTTGATCAGCCCCTTTTTGGGATGCGGCACGCATTCTACTTCCATTTGTACATTCGTAGTTGTGTTTGAATGAGAAATGGCCTTTACAATTACTTGCGGGGCCAGCCGATGTACAAGTCAGTGTTTTTATCCTCCCAGACAAGGCTGGAACCAATTGACCGATCCCGGAGGGATGGAAGGCATGGTTGTCCCGGACGACTCACGACCCAAGATTTGATCACCGGACCGCTCCCGTGGTGAGGGTGCCACTTACCATTACACCACTTCCGCCCCTTAGAATCTTAATAAGCTTCCCAATTATATTAGTACATCCTATACGGTACCAGGAAGCGTTTCATGATAAGATTTAGTTTCTGCTGTGATTAGATAACTGTTCCTTTTTGCCACCGCTGCCGATCAACGTTCTCGGCATATTTGCAGCGTCATAAGCACGTTGACCTAAAAGGGTAGGTGCGCGTTGCGTTCATCCGAGCCGAACCATAATTTTTGTGTAACTGCCATTTTTTGTATTACATTTGGTACTCGCAACTTTTTTGCGTTCACCTCTTGACAATTGACTTCTGTAGCCGGTCTCAGTTGTTCATAGGAATAGCGGCCACAGCCATCACTCATCTAATTTTTGGACAGCTTCTGCAATTAGATTCCACTTTTCTCTGTGCCCTGAAGGCATCGTTCGCGCAAACTTGCATCTCTTATCCCTGCCAAGATGCGGCATGGTTGGATGAATAAAGGCAAAGAGCAAGGTTTATAATGAAAACTCTGGTTCAAAAAAGAATTAAACGGCGAAACTCGGGTTCGGGGGGGGGCACGCGATGGCGCGGCACTCTGTTCGTCTGCTCCTCCAAGGCTTAGTCCACAGCGACAGTTACTCTTTCGCCATCATGTGGCAGTTTCAAAATGCGCGCCATCGGTGACTAAGTCTTGGAGCAGACGAAAACATCAGCCCGCGCCATCACGTGTCCTTCCCCCCCCCCGAGCCCAAGTTTCACTGAAATGAGAAAATCTCATTTTGTGCGCGCTTTATAGAGCATGGGTGGAGTCAAAGGAAAGCGTTAAATGAAGTATGTAATTATTAGGGCGTTCGTGTACGGGTTGACGCGCTGTGCTAATGAATTCGAAGTTCGATGCCTTATTGGAGTAGTGAGCTTTAATGTTCAAGGTTTCAACGCAGTAGTTTAGGATGTAGAAGACGTTTGACATGGTGCTGCCACAGGGAACAGTGACTCAAAGGTTTTTCACTGAAGAGAAAAAATCCCCACTACTGACACTTGTGACAGTTCGACAGATTTCAAAACCGTTATTCTTCAAATTCTTTGTAAAACAAAAACACAAATATTTCATTTTTATTAGTGTGAGCCCGAAGCTAGCGACTAATAATCACGCTGTTTCATGCAAGATGCATTTGAGTTGAAATGAGGTAAAGTCTCTGCGACCACTTATACATCAGCTTGCCTATGCCGAAGGCGAATCTGAGTGTTAGAGTCCGGCCCGATTTTTGCGAGTTCTTTAAGTTAATTTTGTGATTGGTCTTCCTTTGCTACTGACTAGTCCCGAACATCTGAAAACCGAACATCCAGAGCATGTGCGTTTATGGCGCTGATTACATTAGCCCCTTAAGTTTCCTTTTACTCTTCGCAAAACGACACAAGGTGATTTATCCTCCGTTTTCCGACTATCGCTGGGTTCGTCCCGCATCTCGTATCGTTTTTCACCATAAAAAACCGCAAAAAAGGTTCACCATGAAATTGGTATTAGGATGCACGTTTACTCATCAGCTTACATGCACACGGTTCGGGGCACAGAACTCGGATGGTATCTCGTCCTGGTCAACTGAGTCTTCCATTACTTCTATGTAGGTCGTTTTATTGGTCGCACGCTTGCTTGGGGAGTGAAAATGCGGACTTGTACATCGTTTGACCACTGGTGTCATTGTGTGGCCAAATCATATACAAAACATCACTGTGATCCTGAATGGGGGTAGAATGTGTGGCGAGTCCAGAGAAAACTGACTATTACTTTATCCCCGTTGTGTCGCAGAAAATTTCCGCATCCCTGTGTTTCATTTCCGAATTTCGATTTCCGTCATAGCATGTTTTCTGTGTTAAGTGATGCCGCTATGAAATCTCAGGAAATGCCGAGTGCTGAATCTACACTCTCAGGACTTGTCTTTTTAAGTGTCATTGACGGGCAGCAGCAGCCCTTACTCTAATTGCTACTCAACTTGTATAACTAGCAGTAGACAACTGACGAATATGTAGGCAGTGTAAGATGTGGAGAGATACACGAGACCCGTTCTTGTGCGTTAGCTCCATGTACATGTCTGGTTTATATTGCGCATCATTACTATTAGCTGTCTAACGAGCGAACTCAAGCCTTCTCCAGCAGCGCCATCATCTCCACCACACCCCGGTAGACAAATGGATAACTAGCTGCCTTCCAGCGCATGTTAGTCATTCCGCTTACAGTTCCGATCGTATCTCTTCGACTAATAGTAGATAACATTTTCAACAATAAGCTCTCTTGTGGCTCGGAATTTGCAGGGAGGGTTCAGCTTGTGTAGGCACGGTAACCACAAACTTTCTACGGTTCTTAATATTTCTCAATTAATATTTCCTCAAAGGGTATGTGCCATGGATTTGCCCTCCTGTCCGAATTTCATTTCGATTGTTAACTGAGCAAGCCTCGGCCCAATGTGTCAAAATGTCGGATATGAATGTAGTGCCTAAAAGAAAATTACTCACAGTGCTTGGAAAATGCCTGTATCTTTAGTAGACATTACAACTTTCATCTGATAGAGCGATATAAAAGCGCCGTAATTTTATCAGTCACTTCCACTGAGCTTGTCGAAAGGCACCCTATCGATTGTAACGTGCCAGTACAAAAGTTGAAGAAGATCGAGATTATGGTAACGGGATTATTTCGATGAGTCACTTTTGTTGGACTTTCTCTGTATTTCGTGTTTCTGCACCTGATTCATCGATCCCGAATTTCAAAACAAAAATTTCGTATTTTTTGAAAGGATAGACAACTTCCGATTTACTGTATAGCTTTAGTCTGATATGATATATTAGTGTTGGTACTCCTTGTTAAACACTTGTGTTGCTGGAAGTAGCAATTTGATAATCTTTACCTCTTTTCCCTACCAAACCGAATCTCATTGCTGTCAAAATATCAAGAAAACAGAAAAGAGAACTTATGAAGTTTTTTTTTTTCGAAAAAGGATTCAGAACGGGAATCTATCTGTATAAGCTTATTCACAAGATTCCTTACCTCTTATTTTGTAAGTACTATTTACAGCTTCAATTTGCCGCTTTGTAAAGAATTTTTTAATTCGGGCACCACTCCCTCTCCCTCTTCTACCCCCTCCACACTACTACGATCGCTTCACTTTCTGTATGAAACTCAACTTACTATGCTATTGCGCTAAATTCATTCTTTTGGAATGGAGTCCTTCTAGATGAGAGGGATCCTTTCCCATGATAATTTTTATGGAGGTTCAACTTCACATAAAAATTAATGAATGAATTGAAATCTGTGACAGAGGGCGACACAAAAGAATGTTTAAACATCAAGAAAAAATTTAAAAAATGGAGATCATAACGTTGAAAATTGAGACCTTTCAAGGGGAAGTAGTAGGTGAGAATTGGCTGTAATTACCACGTTCATGCAGGGTCATCAAATCCTGGATCAAAACTTATCTGGTGCAACTAGATTGTCAATAGTTCCTGGGCCGGCTAGTTCTCACTGACAACTGTCTGGAAATACTCTCATACATCGACTTATTCCGTTAGTCATTGTGTAGGCTGAAACGCATTCGATTCCACTGCAAATCTCAGTGGAAGCATTGTGGGATATTTAGAGCACCAGAAAAAAGGAATCAAAGATTGAATGAATGCTGTATGCGCATCCTTTTTGTTATATGCGCTCTAGTCTAAAAATGCAGCAATCTAATGAGTGAGTTATTCAAATCTTTTCATTGCAGAATTGGGGATCTAATACGTACTTTATACTCCACAATGAGGGTAGTGTTGTGCAATGGGCTCCCAAGCGCGCGATCCGACAGTTAAATCTCGGGTCGAACCTCGCCTAGGACAGCAAGCCTGCCTTACCTGCGGGCCGGTCAATCGGGACCAGGTTCGACTTGTAGGAAAAGAACTTTAACTCAAACATCGCCTGGTCCTGCAAGTCATTTTAGAGGCCATACCGCATTCATGTCATGATAATTTTGAGCGGAAATAGAATTCATGGCGCATACCAAAAGGGAGTGATCAACGCTGAAGGCGTTATTTTTCATCTTTTTTTACACAGACCACATTAGCGAACCGTCTACTCCAAGAGTGTCAGAGAAATAGAGACTTGTGCCGTTCCGTGCAGCGATGGCATTCCTCGACGAGTATCCATCGAATTAACTGAAATGAGGATATCGCCAAATGCTTGATATGGAACGTTTTGGAAACGCTTTCACGAATTCCCTCCATCAATCGTCTCGAATAGCGTTCGTAGTGGTCATCTAATCGGATTTCTCTCGCTAAAAGAAGCGCTCTCGCGTCCAAACAAGAAACGGGAAGCCGGCGTTGATGCATTCTGAAGATATATCTATATGCGATCATAGAAAAAACCCCGACACGTTCGTTTCTCCTAAATTGAAACCCCTCAATTTTCTCCTATCCTCTGCCGATCTTTGAAGAAATACCCATCATCCCTCTCGATCGCTGTCTCACTCGCATTACGACGTGTCACTAATAAATTACTGAAGTATTCGATGTTTTAGGGTATGTTACTCCTATTGTGGATCTTACCCTTAGTGGTGGCTCAAAACCTATATGGACCATCGCAACTCGACCAGTACGCCCGACTATTCAATTCCGGCAATCTCGGCGGCTTCGGGTTATTCCAAAATGCCATGGCTCAAGGTACTGTACGTGGTCTGGGTGATCTGAGTACCCCGCCAATATTAGCAGGACTACCTCCACTTCCCCTCACTCACGAAGAAGGTAAGACTTTCTCACTGTTAAGCAAGAATCCCTACTTTTGTAGAACTTTGCTTTCGAAACCACGCTTGGGCGCTAGCAGTGTGGCACTAGCTAGTCGCACTACAGAACAATTTTCCGAAAGCATTTTGTCAATGATGTTCAAAGGAATGATCTACGATTCCATATTTTTTTCACAAGCGTAGCATGTGAACTCAAAAAAAAAAACGATTTGAGGATTGAGCTCAAGAGAATTTTTGACGATAACAACTTTCAGTACATAATCACTGAGTTTACCTTATACCAAGAAATTCTGTCGAGTGTCATGCTCCAAGTAAAGATTTGGTGATGTAAGGATGGACAGTTCAGCTCGGGAACGCCAGGTCCAATTACGAGCGCCGCTTTAAGCAAAGTGTACTAACCTAATCCATTCCTTGCGATAACATTGAAACGTTTGGTATTATGGGCTGAATTTCAGGTATAGGAGTACAAAAATCAATAATCACTCGAATATTGCTTGTTTTTCTTCTTCTGCCATACAGGTTGTTACGGTGGAACTTATTTATTCGGTCGACGTTTCGAACAACTCGTTGTCTTCAGGACCTGAAGCCAGTTCGAAGTTTTAGCTCGTAACGTACCCGGTCGGTCTCCACGATACTACTCAAGTATTTCAGATAGAGGAAAAATTCCAACTAAAGAACCAACCTTAGCAACACCGTAACAACCTGTATGACAGAAGAAGAAAAACAAGCAATATTTTCAACATGTCCAGGTTTCAAGAAGACCGCACATGGAATCTACTCGAATAATTTTAGGTAGCCACACACATTGACTTTATCTTTGCAGTAATGCGGCAGCTAACTTCAACAGCTGCGACTCCTTCAACTCGTCCCACCGCTGTGCCAACGACTCCTCCAACAAACCCGGGCGGCATCTACGCCATAAACACGCTGGTGGAGCTGCCACCGATTCCAGAAAATCGGTATGATTCCTATTGATTTCATTCTAATTAAGGATATGAACATCAGGAGCTCGTTGGACGACCGGTTCATCTGCATTTACAATGACATAGAGATGATATCTAGCCAGCGATTATGTGCTTAATAGGCTTCACTCGTCATAGAACATTGTCTTTAAGGATATCCTCTTGCTGTATGTAACCCCTCCATGGGCATGAGGGGGAAGTTTGCAAAAAGGAGCAAGACAGAACAGAAACGTTAAAGCCACCAGTCATGATCGAATTGTTATTTTGTTTGAAAATTAGGCAAGGAGTGCAATGAGGAACATTGCTGTAAAGAAGCAGAAAGCACCATTGAAAACACTGAAATTTTCTTGTTTTCAATTGCTAGCTGCTGTTTTTGGCTACAGTTCGCCTTGCGAATGCTTCACAAGAATGCTGAATTGTAAACAAAACTTTCGCCCCAGGTGGAACTAGAACCCGCACCTCTCGCTTCCGGGCAAGTGCGCCGTTTACCAGTTACACTCCTGAGAGCATCATTTCATCCCAACTTTCAATTTTCATTTTCATTACATTTCAAGTTGGGACGAAATGGTGCCCCGGTAGCGTAACTGGTAGCACAGTTGCCTGGAAAGCGGGAGGTGCGAGTTCTAGTCGCGCCTGGGGCAAACGTTTTGTTCACAACCCAGCATTCTTGTGAAACTGAAATTTCCCTTATAAGCCTACCGTGGTATGACGGAGAGACGCAGTGCTGCGAGGAGAGGAAGGACGCGAAATAGTATGTCTACAGAGAGGGCGCAGAGGCCATGCAGGGATTCATAACGATGGCAACACGGCAGCACACAAGGCATGGCCTTAGCGCCGTTGCTTTGGGGAGACGTGCGTTTTTACTCCTCGGATCAGGTCACCACAGTTACGCGATCATGGAAGCTTAAAATTAAATTTGGGTTTAGACTTAGGTTAAGGCATATGTTTACACATTGGCTTATGCTTAAGCCTACGATTGGGCCCAGGCTTGCTCCGAGCGAATGAACGACGTCTCAATTTTGGATGACTGACCCCAGGAGGAGAAATGTTCTCACCTGTTGCTTCGCTTTCTTGTGTCACAACAGTGACGTGCCGTACCCTTGGGGACCCTTCTTTCTCACTCTAGAAGCGACTGGCTCTAGGGACCTAATCCCGACTCGTGGCTTCAAGGCAGAGTGCTGTATTTCACTTGCAGGAGGGTGAACAACTCCTCTAGATTTATTTGTACCAGAAAGGTTTGCACTAAGAAGGGCGTATGTTTGTGTTACGCATTTCAGAAGAAGAGACTGTTCAGTGCCGGAAGCTTTTTATACTTTTCTTCTCTCTTTGTTGCTGATAGTTGTTCAATTGCATCACGCTAAACGCCGATGCTGACTTCCGCCGCGACCACAGCTGTCCAATTAGTTTGTTTGTGATAGGGACATTTTCGCTGTGAAACTAGTTCGGTTCTCTTTTCGGCTTGTCAGAACTCTGGAATATCTTGACGGCGGACGCTGGTTTACCGTTTCGGCCAATCAGCAAATCCGCTTAGAATTTGGGGTAGAACCACTTTTCAGTCTATTTTTTCAAGTACCAACATTTCTCTGTGCTTCACAACTTCATTTTTTGATTTTTTCTTATATTTGGTTTTCATCACAGCTCAAAAACAAATGAAAAGAGGCCAGAGCGGAAAAACCATATCTCTTCATAAAAACTGAATTGATGTAATTGCTGGAAATCTTAACATAAATCGCGATCGTGATTGCAGTATTCATATACTGTTTTAGGATACACGGCACCTTCGATGAGGACGGCGTTTTCCATCCAAACAATGAAGGCAAAGACGAAGACGATGTGCAAATCGTGCGAAATCAGGTTTCACAAAAATCAGTCTTTTCAAAAAATGAGCAGAAAGAAGAAATAGAACTCTTCATTGGTCCCTGATTCGGCTTTGGTCCGGAAGAATGGCCTTTTATAACTTGATTCAAAGCGGTGATTTTGCACTGCATGTTTATGAGACTTTTCGAGCGGTCCCTGTGCAAGGAAAGCAACTAGTAACATAGTGACACCCCTTACATTCGATACGCACGTTCCGTGCCATTACTTCAATTTTTGTTGAAGGGCACAGGGTTGAAGGGTTGAAGGGTTCAGCAATTAAGTCATTAGTCAGCCGAATGAAACAATCGATCTCGTAAATATTTAGGAAGAAGCTACCCACAAAGGTAAAGTCTGTATTATACATACCGAAAATGCACGACCAGGACGCCCCGGATTTATCCCTTCCGCTGTTGAACGCGATGCAACGGACGCGGTGCCTGCGTCTCTCGTAACCTGTGTCTTCTTTATCCTTTAGTGTCTCTCAATTGCAGCATAGTTCACCTTAGAAGAAGTGAGACTCTGAATTGCAGTGCTTTCGGCGTTTTCGTCCCCACTTCTTGTCTCAAGCGATGAATTTCATTTTGCGCTCATTCTCGAATGAAACAGCTCCCTTCTTGTCACTAACTGACATCTAAAACGGTAATTGAGCCCAGTCACTTGAAATGTTAAAAAGATTACTTTTTTCACTTACCTTAGAGCTCTCATGAAACAGCTTTTTTAGGATACACAGGCACAAAGATTCGCGATTTCTCCCAAGCTGAGGGGATACGAGTAGACGGGCACATGGAGAGATATACCAGCAAGATGAGGAAGTTACGGAGGCTATGTGATCGCGTTGACTAATCAGCGTTAAAATTGGCTAAGCTTTTCTTTACTCACGTTGGGGTGACCACTGCAACTTTTTTCCACGGAAGGGCGCCCTTCTTCTCCTCGGAGGAGTGGAGGCTAAAAGCCTAAAGGAGGAGGATCAGCGTTGAAGGCTGTACTTTCGAATGGGGCCTTTGAATAGCAATATGGTGAAATTTTTAAGGAGCAAAGAATTCTACCATTTGCATTCTTATTGTACTCCTCATCAAGGTAACTTATGGAAACAAAGTGAGGTTCAGGTAGAGAGAATGCATAGGGGATAGGTTCAAATTGGCGTTGGAAAAAGGTGGGGCGGGTGAATTATCTGAAAAATTTACTCGCCACTATGTTTGACCCTGCTGCGCTTCATCAATAAGGCCGCGCATCTCATACAAAAAAAGCCTTGGTAAATTTTACCCCTCGAAATATGCCATTCACACGCATCCAGCCACCATTTCTCATATACAGTAAGTAGGGCTAAAATCACCTTTGCAATACTCTGGCCTTTTTTTCCAGGAGGACGGTTCATTCGAAGATCCTCCAAAGATTCGATCAACTTCCAATGCCGGAGCTCATCGACTTGCGCAGCACAACGAAAAGAGTCGAAAGCCGCGCCAGAATCCAGCCGTATGTACTGATTTATTTTTTAAGTTCAGGAACGTTGTTCAGAAACTTTGCCATAATTTTAGCTGCCTCGAAGACAGATTATACGTTCTCGACAGATAAGACGACAACAACAAGGTAAGCCAAGAAGGGTTCATGGGACTTTAAGTTCTTTGAGAGTCTAACGAAATGAGTATCATATTGCAGATTCATCAGTGAATGCAAAGCGTAATCTGCGTCAAGCTGTTGTTCAACAACCGCGATATCCCCCATTCGTATTCAGGTATATAATGAAAAACTCCAGAACTGGCCTACACAAGTTTTCACCAAATTTTTAGGCCCAAGCCGCCTCCACCTGAGCGAGAGCAGGAGTACAACAATCTGTTAGCGGAAATTGAAGAATACGATGACTTTTTGGTAAGAGCCTTTGATGTCGATTGATGTTGTCTGCGATTGATGTGTCGTTATATTCGCGAGAGCCCCAATTTGTGTTTTTCTATGTGTTACAATTCGCAGTCGAAGACTCGCCTTAAATGAAAGAAATCTCAATAGATGGCTCAAACCCAGCGCTTCATTTCAAAATCACCGTGGTGATAAATAACGACAACCTATTTTTGAAATGATGCAGGACAAATCGTTCCCCGTTTACACCACGCATTGGATTTCCATTCAAAAATTCGGTGAACGTTGAATGCTCGGCTGATCAATACCGTACCACTGTGTTCCTCGACTCACAACTCGTTTGTTTTGCTTCCTCATACGTTTGAGGTGCCTTGGCACAAGCCCGGGTTACCGGTTGCGGCGTGGTTATCTTCAGGGCTACTTAATTCACTGATCATTGCATTTCATTTCAAATACTTTTCCTCACCATACTTAGCGTTTTTCAATGTTTAACTACAAACAAAGCGTGTCTTGTCATGAATAGTATTAAATAATCTCAAACAGCCAAAAAGCCTCTTCCTGAAGCAACTGTAATACCTCCCCGTACTCTGTAGTGCCTAATTACTATACTGCTCGTATGATTACTCAATATTGGTTGCAACTAACATTGCTTGTGCACACTTACTGTGCAAAATAAATAGTAAATAGTATCTGCCACCAGTTAAGGGAATCTTCCACAAAAAGACTGGTCACTCCTATTTTGTGTATATGTGTTAGGCATGGTCACTAAAGGACATGAGCCAAGCTCTAAGCGAGAAAGAGTGAAACACCCAAAAGGTGCAGCACCTGGGAAGGCTCACATGTGGGACCGGAACGGACCGCTGGGCGGGACCGGAAGTGCTTTTGGGACAGAGCCATAGCAGGTGCGGATCCGTGTAAGTTTATGGGAAGACCTATTTGAATCATGTTCAAGTGCAGGATTCCGACACGATTGCACATGTTGGATCCACGCCGCTAACAGTTGTGGAAATTTCACGGCGGGAATTCAAATTCTTTGTAGTCTAACGAGTTATCATAACTATTATCGGAACCAGCGCGTATGGTTCCGTTCCTTTGGCTATCCTCGTGAGATTAGGGGCCTAAGGTGTCTTTTTTGTGGGAATGAAGCGGAATTTTTCCGTGGAAGACTCCTTTAAGCGAGTGTAGGTTAAGATATGAGGACACTTGCGGCGAAGCTCCGCTTTGAAGATAAGAAAACGCGCGCTGATCTATTAGTTATTGTGAGTCGTAGAAGCCCTCAAGATCTGGCTCAAATCGCACATAAATGATTTCAAGAGACGGAACGTTTATTTGGCCCGGAGGCTCATCGATGTCGGACTAGAGACTAACAGCGCAGTGATTGATTTCACCGATCTCACCTCCAGATCAAATTCATCTCCAACTAGGAAAGAGGTCGAAAACCAAGCAAAGAAGCATTAAACATGAAGACATTTTCAGGAACAGCAACGGGTCTATCTATCTCACTACCCCAAGGCCACTCTACAAAATCCCTATCGAGACCTGCCACCGGGCCAACTTCCCGCTGCTGGCTCTTATTCAGCCGGATCGTTCAATGTAGTAAACTTTTTGCTATCAATATGATTGCTATTTTCGTTTTCTGAAAATTTCGTTAGTGAATACATTCATATCTTCAGGCGCCTACAAATATTCAACAGCCCAACATCCCTGCACCATCGCGAAACCCCAATCAAGGTGTGGAGAACTTCAGGCCACCACCGCCACCACAATCACCACAGCCACAAGCTCAACCACAACAGCAGCAGCCATTCTGTACGTTCTGCCGTTTAAGTACTGTGCTATTTACCTATCACTGAATCTCGACTGGATACATGTCATTAGTACTGCTGGATCATGACAATCCCAACGTGCCTCTGATCTGATGAGGTTGAATTTTGATATCCGCTAGGAATTCTGAATTGGGGCGTCACCTGCAACAGTGAAAAGGTGCTGTATCCAGTCAATGTCCATGTTTGAGCTTTTTTCTTGGGAGGGGGTTATAGTTTCGAGAATATATAGCTCAGAGGGCCAGAACTAAGTATACCAATCCCAAATAACAAACCTGTACTGCTCACGCGAGTCCTGCCACAAAACTTTGAAATAAACTTGATACAACTAAATAGAGGTGACACTGAACTACATCTCTCTGGGTCGTGCTATGTGCCTTGAAAGCCGGCCACCTGCATTTTAGGTCATGCCAACACTAAGTTGACCAGTTTTCTGGCATCCAGTTCCTCCTAAGGACATTCCTGAGGGTAGGCCTAAAGGCAGCGATTGCGATAGGTTCTAGAAGGGTTTGGAGGAGGCGTTGGGTGCTCAATGGTACACGAGTGGCGAAAACGCGCAAAAATCCGTCAGGGAAACACAAAACGGAACCCCCTTCTTTTGGCCGTTGATTTTCACTCGTAAATAGGTAGGTCTTCCCCTTTATCATAATCGCTTCCGTTAAAGGTAAAGTTCGGGCTCAGACCCACCTAAGAAGTCCTTACCATGGCTAGAAGTGCTGGGTACACAAGTGCAAAGGTAGCGCCACCTTTTTACGTCGAGAAGCGTCACTAGGACCATAGACGCCATGGACATCTAACAGACTCCGAAAAACTCAACACGTTCGATGTCTGCGTCGCTACGTTAATCTGCTATGTTCTTTCTTCCCGGACTTCTCTAACACTCTCTGCGCTCACATCACCTCTCATCTCCCTGCCTGTTTTTTGAACTCCTCCATAGCATAGAACAAAATGCTTGAATTTCCTGTGTATTTCAGAATCCCTCCCATCCCTACTTTCACATCACCTCACATTATTGCTACAAAATTACTGTGACAATCTTAGTGTCATTAAGTGCTCTTGCTAAACGTGCCGTTTTCAGGGCCGCAACCACCTCAGCCGCAGAACCTCTTCCCTCCACCGTTCTCACCACCGAGCGCTTCGACTGACAATCCACTGCTCAAGATATTCAACTTCCTATCAATTCCACATCATCATGCGGTTACTGCTTTCATCCTTATAACCACTTATAAAAAAGAATAATAGAAGAGTGAAGGAATAGTAGTAAACAGAGAACTGATTGGGGATATGAAACGTCTTTGTTGCAGCACGCGCTAGCTGCTCCGCAAGTGAGTTTGGAGGACGACCCGCCCACTACTAAAAAAACAACAACAGCGGCACCAACACCGGTAATTGCACATTTTAATAGTGTAGAAGCACTTGTTATAATCATGTTTTAGCTTCCTCGGCCAAATCCCTACCAACTTGGCATGCTGCCGATTCCACCAAGTTCCATGCCATTAGTCGACATTCACCAGCAGCCGCTACAACCATTGGTAAGTAACTTGAAAATTTTTTGGAAACTGAAACAGCCTGTCCGCGTGATGTTCTGGCGTGCAAATTATCATATTATAAACCAATATTTGTTCAATTTTGCAGACTTTCGGCCAAATTCGCACTTAAACTAACTTTTTGATTCTATCTTAGTAGTTTAGCTTTCTTATACACATTTGAGGATTTCCACTACAACGGGCTGTATTAATTAACAATTATTTCGGATAAGAGTTTCTATTCTGAAGAGTCTGTCAAGCTCTCTGATATCGCTTAAAGGAGGAATTCACGATTAGAATGAAGGTCGAAGAAAGGGAAACTGGCCTAGTTGAGGGACCCACGAACCCCCTGAGAGTGCGAACTGACGCGCAATTCGCATGGAAAAATTTGACCTCGGCGACCTGTCATGCCTCAAAGCTGGCAGGTCCGGCGATCTCCGCCCACCGATCACCTGATCACTCGCCGTAGTTCAATACGTGGCGAGTGATTAGATAGCTGAGAGAGCATAGTGTTGAAGTGGGCACAGCGATGAGATTCGCATCAACGCTCGAATCAACGGGCAAGGAAGGGGTACCATTTCTCAGGTTCTGGGCCGTTTCTCATGGTTCTTCCTTCTTTCGTGTACCACTCACCATCCCTAGATTAGTTTGAAATGAATTGCTTTTTCATCGTGAATTCGTCCTTTAAAGACAAGCCCGGGATTAAACTGGTTTTAAGAGCGCTTCGTAGTGAGAGCTTAGCTGCGGAACGATCTGAAAGTAGAGAGGAAAGCAAGAGACCTCTTCGGGAGCGCCGAAATTAAGGCTTTAACCTTCAATAAGGTCGGATGTGGTACGATGGCGAGACAGGGCGATCAAATAAGGCAGAATACTCGAGAGAGCACGCTGATCTCTGCATCAATGCACGCTGATCTCACCACCTCTCGTGGTGAGTGGAAGCGTTGGAACTGAGGTTGATGGTTGCAGGCCCGTGAGGATTGCCCTAACCGCGCAGTTTTCGCGACGAAGATTGAGTGATCTGGACAGGTAAGGACCTTACGATTTTCCTTGGGGTTTCCTTCCCACAAGTCGGGCTAATCCCGGATTTGCCTTTTAATTCGCGCTATAGATTAGCGCACATCAGTTGGCGCATTTTCGTCGCTGAAGGACTAGTCATTGTGTAGGGGCACGGAGCGACGCTAGAAAATATGACATCATAGTAACAGACGATTACGGGCAGTTACATGGATACCACATACGCCTTTTTTGTTTTATTATGTACTGGCTCAGTCTCCGTTTTGTTCGTTGAAGTGGCTTGACAGAGGCTAAATTAATTTCCCCTTCCTAATCTTGCGTTATCTTGTAACGAAGTATAAGATGAATTCGGAAGGGAAGTTAATCTAAATGGCCCTTATTAGCCTAAATTTTCTGAAGAAACTGTAATACGGTAAGGATCCGATCCTACGACGTTCTGACTGTGAGTCTCGACCACTACCGTTGTACTGTTTTGTTTCATAACTCCGTTCCCAGAATCGCTCAGCAGATTTGGAAGGTAAATTTGAGATCAGCGTTCACATCTAGGCATCTCTTCTTGGACGGCCATAGCGATCTGGAAGCCTTTTCTTGTGAGCTCATGCTGAACCAAAACAGTCCTATTGTCTAGGCGCTACCCTTCTCTTTCTCTATGACTGGATATTCCTTTACAGAGTTTCCCACAACTGGGCAGTCCACTGGTGTTGCAGCCGTTGTTCAGTCATGGAAAATGATCCATACTCGTCCAATTGTGATGTGTGGTTCTCGTAACAATGACCTCGTATTTATATAATAATTTAACTGTTTGTATAAACATTTAGTTGTATGTGAATACATATGTAAATTTTCGCCGTATTACTCGACCTGACTACACGTAACTGGTGGTGAAACGAATGCGAGTGATCTGTGTGTTGATAACCTTCGATTTACTAGTACGATTATACATTAGATTTAGTGACGTCTAGATGTTTGAATATTTATTGTAGAACGTACTCGAGTATCAACTTACTGGATTTTTGTGGTGCTCAGTTTCATGTTTTTGTTTCTTCACCTACACGAACGCACACTGTCATAATAGACAACGATCTGCCTGTACTTTACTGGATTACTAGTAATTTATACTTTTTGTCGCATGAATAAACATATGTGGTAATTTTTGACTGTCGTTTGATCAAACTGTAGGGTTGCGATATTCAACGACGTATACTGAAGCTCACAAATGAAACAGTCGATGTAAGATGCGCCACGCATTTGTTTCTTGTTCTGTGAAGTTGACAGGAAAGTTCCCCGCCCTATCCCCACTGGGCACATTCACATTTTGAGCGCGGTGCATTGGAGACAGCGGAGAAACGCACCTTCCTTGGGTGAAACTCCAGGGGGGGCACTCCTTACTATTTTATCCGTAGTAACTAGGAGCAGTTCTTTGCTAGTCGAACATACGGATTATATAATAAGTGAATCGACCCATTTCGGGTCGTACACTTTTGATGTCCTACATTCCACACTAACTGCGCACATCCCATCCACTTTTCTGCACAGGTGATCCACCCTGGAGCTCCTGCACCCTTAGCCCTTTGCGGAGGTGTCCTTTCTCCTGGTCCAGGACCGTTCCCTTGGGTCATGGCAGGGGGGAAAGGGAAAACGTTTCAGGGTTTCTCATCCATTACACCAACATTTATCAGAAGTCTACTTTGAATGAGTCGACTACGTGTCGTGAGCCCTCTAATCCTTATCTTGAGTATTGGAGAAAAAATGGAGTGGCCCTTCCGAACTGGAGTTTCACCCTTCCTTGTACACCACACCACAAAGTCCGAGCTCAGAAGATACTACCTAGGTTTGTAGGGGTATCCCATTTTGAGAAGCACTCCACTTCAAGCAGACAAACATTGCAAAGGCAAGCATGAAATAACTACCGAAGTCGGGCGCAGTAATTCGGCAGAACCGCTCGAAACGTCTCCAAATCTCCGTTTTCCAAATAAAGCCCGACCTCACGATGAAAAGGTGGCTCGCTACGCTCTGAAGGAAACTGGCTGGACCACGACACCAATTCTGACGTATAGCCCTGACATTGATCCATCTTGCTGTCACCTGCCAACTCTCTGAAGCAGCAGCTACCACAGAAAAAGTAAGTGAATACAACTGTCCCAAAAATAGTCTCTCCGAAATTTAATCCCGCAATTTCACTCGTTCTTGGAGGAAGGCATCCTTTCGTACCCTAGAATGCTTATCAGTGATCATGGTGGTGGTTACATTTTTGATAATTGTTTTTCTGGAAGGAAAAAACTTGAAGAAATCGTAGTGTCGAAATTCGCCCATAAATTATGGGCTAACCCAATAGAAAGGCGGAAGTGGTGTAGTGGCAAGTGGCGCGCTTACCACCCAGCGGTCTGGGGATCAAATCCTGGGTCGTGAGTCACCCGGGCCAACCGAGCCTTCCATCCCTCCGGGGTCGGTCAATAGGTACTAGACTTGTCTGGGAGGATAAAAACATTGACTTGTACATCGACTGGCCCCCGCAGGTATAGGCCACATCGTATACAAACGCCACCACGAATGTACAAATGGAAGTGGAATGCGTGCAGCATCCCGAAAAGGGATTGATCAACGGCAAATGCTTTATCCTTTATTTTTAACCCAATAGACACTAGTCGGTGCGTTACTACACCTAAAGTGTGCTTCAAATGAAATGTTACTCAACTTATCCTCAGAATTAAAGAGCTCGAAGGAGCCCTCTCTACCCTCACCTACCGAAGTCCCCATTTTCAGGGTGCGTGACGATTCAATCGTGGCGATAGCTAGGTCGCCGCGCTAGCCGCCGCAGCCCGCGATGCGACGTCGGTCGTGGCAGAATTCAGTTTTCTAGCACTAGGGAATGAAGCACAGCATATGATCACCTGCCCCTTTGAAATACAGGATCTTTGCCTTTGCCATTATTTACAAACTTATTCTTATGTTATTGCTTTCCTCACGCTTCCACAGCGTTTTGGAGCGTAACATTTTTCCGATTTGGCCATATTATCGCTCTCTGATAACAATTCAGGCAATTGATTAATAAAGATATTATTATGTTCAAAAGAATTTCACTATGTTAAAAAATGAACATCAAATCTCAAATGTATCACGTTTTTCAACGCACTGAAGACCTGATGAAGGTTCTACAAACATATTTGAAGCAACACTCTTCTGAAGGAATTTCGGGCTTGTTTTAAGTATTAGGTTGAGCGGAATATCCGCCATTTTTGCCAGGCTCATGACTCTTTTATTTTTTTGCTTATTATTTCTCAAGATTGATGTAGTCTGGATGCTTGCAATCTGTTGTACATTTGGGTGTCCGATACTTGTACATATATGTGCTTCAATATGGAGCTTACACGCGAGCAAAAGGATTGCTCATGCTGCACATGTTCAAGTTGAGTTTGGAACCGAATGCTTCTGCATTGTCTCGAAGAATCATCCAAGCCAGGATTGAAGGCACGGTTGCAGAGAGAGTATTCAAGAAATTTAGTTTATCAATCACTTGCTGTTACTTTTGTGGTTTGTTAATAATCTTATATGTGTAATGAAAACGGCAGATATTTCCGCTCTGCCTAATATTTTAGGTAATTTTGACACGAACCTTGCTGCTCTTTTTGTGATTCTGATGTCTCCAGGTCAGCACGATGCCTAAAGGAGATGGTCTATTGTTTACAGATAGCTATATAAGGACTTGGCCGCCCATTCAGGTTGTTAGAAAAGGTGAAAAAACATGAACAATTAGCACTATGACATGGGGCGGGCCACTCAAGCTCTTGTGAAAATCCCGGCTGGCTCTCGTGAGCACTTGTCGGTCGGTCTTTGTTTGTGTCCTAATGGCGCTTTGAGTGTATTCTCCTGTAGTTCACTTTTATTTTGGAAATTATTGCTTTATTCGGAGGAAACTTACAAACATCTGTTCCTCCATAGTACGTGTGCTACAAGTGAATACTTCTTGGAAAATAGAAAGCTATATGGATTCTTGTAAATGCTTCGCGGTGCAATCCTTACTTTTACTGCAGAAGGAAGCCTGAGTGCACCGTGATCCCAATGGACCATTCTCAGCGTTCGATTTGAATAAAATGTTCATGCAAAAGTGAAGTTATCTTAGCATTTCTAGCTCTTGAGCTAGCGCTCTTATCTGAGCGCGCAGAGCGCTGCCTCCCACAAGTACTAGTATCAATTTCATTAGTGATATTACAAGAGGACTCCCTGAAAACTCTCCGATGCTTCATTGCACCCGTTTCCCCTTATTTTCCGAGAGCTGAGATGTTAGTGAAGATTCCCCACAAATGAAACTCTCATAGCTTGTCCCTATTCCTCAATACTGATCCCTAGATACTCATGATGCGTAGTGAGCTGATCACCTCATCATTTTTTAGGAGAATAATGTCGGTGTGCGAAGGTGAGCCGTATCTGCTTATCGCTGAGACGACAAGTTGTGCTGAATCGCCTTCTTGCACACTTATGCTGTGCTATGATCATCTTCAGTGCTACCTAGGTGAGTGAACAATCTTTCACTAGAAATTACAGCTCCGATACACCTTCAGGAGTCCTTGTGTTACGGTTTCACTAGAACGTATAGCAATACTGAGCGCTGTGCCAAAAAAACTTCTGATGTAAACGGAGTTACTCGATTCCCTAGGAGAAGTACATTTCACCTCAAAATAGCGGCTTGAATAACTGTTCAACAAGGGACAAGAGAAAGTTGCGTGCGAACTCGTCCTTTCCGTGGATGAGGCACAGTCGGATTTCCTGGCGTATGACTTACCGAGGGCGATGATGCTCCTTTACTGCTAAGTTTTTGACTTGAACGTAAAAGAGAAATGGAAATTAGAGCGGTACCCCCTCTTTATCCCTTTTTGTGAATTACGAGTGAGCCTCCTAGGGGTATATAGGATGAAATTTACTTAGACGAGGACTGCCCTCTTAAGTCTGGCACTGGGCCGTTCGAATCTCCACGCATTCGACAACGTAGAAACGAGCGCGATATCTTCTGAGCTATGCTCACCCTAAAGGGCATCTAGCGTTGAACTAAAATGTAATTCGATTAATGATGGAGTTTAAACGGTTTTTCTTGGTGTAGCTTGATGTTCGCGACGTTGTAAATATGCTGCTTTGCGTGGTGTCAGTCAGGCACTATCGTAGGTACCGCTGCCCCTAGCGTGAAACTTGTTCTCATGTCGATGGCATTCCCTCCCAGACATGTTCCCCCATAGTTCTCCACCCCATTGCCGTCATCTCAGAAAACTGTTCCGAACTACTTCTAGCCGGCTTCATTCTCACATCGATTCTCCCATTCAGCCCAACAGGTTTCTGTTTCACTGTATTATCGTTTCATCACAGAATTCCGTCCGGCTTAAAGTCTGCACCTCTCTACATCTCCTTCTCTCCACGTGTACTTTCAGAGCAACCGTACTTGACTATTTTATTCAGCCATTCACCATAAGGGATAAGAAGCATAAATCACTCGAATATAGTGAATCACTTCTTGGACGTTCCATGCAATTCAATCTCAGAATGTAGAATGTTCTTACTCTCCCAGACAAGTCTTGAATGAACGTTAGAGCATGACAACGGAAGGCTTCGCCAGGGTGCAATGGCTTTGTTGTGGGATTCGGTCCTCGAAACTCGCGGGTGAATCGGCGCAACTTGCTCCTACACCATTTCCCGTACATTAATGAGCCTCAAGTAAAGTACTAACAAGCCGATGCTGAATTTG